CAGCTGCAAACAGGAGGCTTGCCTGACCAGCCAGAAGCGCAGGGCAGAGAAGGGACATTGCACAGTTAGTGGGGATGAGGAACTGCCTTCTCCGCTGGTTCCCAGGGTGCACAGGGCAGGAGGAAGATGCAAGAAAGATCAGCAAGCTACTCGCAAGGAGACAGCCTCACCCCTCCTAATGAGATGCACTAGCTGGCGGCTATTTAGTCCGATGCGTGGAGCAAAACAAAGTTGGAGACAACCTGTCTCTTTCCTGCCGAGCGTGTGTTCTGACTTTGTGACTCCTGCTTTCATGATTCCAAACCTGTACGTTGCTTGCTGACCTTATGATTGGGCCTTGGATTCTGGATTTGGACCTTGGCTTTGATTATCATGCTTGGACTTTGGACTTTGCCTGGACTTCGGACTTTATCTGTGCTTTGTGAACTTGTGCCTTGCCACTGAATTATGTATGTGTCTTTAACTTCATGTCTTGGTTCTGCAAACTCAGACTTATTGGAACTTTATGTTTCTTGTGAGTGAGACTAGGGAATAACTTTAGAGCCTCAATAAAGTAATTAAAACCCCTAGGGGTGTGGTTATGGGGACATAACCACTAGACCAAACTGACTCTGTTTGTAGTCTTCTTGTTTTGTGATTTATGCTTTCTCTACGTTGACAATAGAAGAAAGTACAAAAATAGTTTTAAAAACGGAGCTCATTTTTTAAAAAGATATGTAGGAGAACACCTCCAAAAATGCCAGTAAGCAGGCTGGGTAAGTGGAAATCAGTCAGACGTAAACTGTTCTATGACTGTGCTCACATCTCAAATGTGGCAAATCTTGTAAGCAGTAATCAGTAAAATGTTGTCAACATCCAGCTTGAGAATCCAAATAAAACTCCAGATTAATTTCATTTTTGAAAATTTTAAAAAAGTTTATTGAATACACTGCGTGGTTATGTTGAAGCAAAACTAACTCTGAGGTTCCCAAACCCCCAATGTCTTACGTAATCCATATCAACAAATCACTTTGTTATGGGAACCTTCTGCTTCAAATCCACACCTGTTCTGGTGTCCTTGACAAGGCTTCAGGCTCCCATGGTCTGCAGCTGAATCAAAGAAGCTTTGTTTCTCCATCTACCAACTTGAAAGTAACACCTCCCACCCTCTTATCTAAAGGCAAGTTGAAACACAGAGGCACATAGCTGCCAAAGTTTCATACTTGACAGTTCTGGCCTGATTTCACGTAATCTCTAATGTCTTTCTGCTGCTTGTTTCTGTCCAGTTTTAATTTCAGTAAAACCTGAAAATGACTCAATGAAGAGAGTTGCATTGATGGTTTAGATAAGTTCCAACAATTGTTAAGTTATTTATTATAATTTCTTCATTTAATTATATTCAATTATTTAGATTTTTTCAGGATAACAAGTTCTCATAGCACAACTTAGAAATAAATGAGAAATAAATGAAACAAATAATAATAAATATATAATGACCAAAAAACATTCTAGGATCACTTTCACAGGACAGTACAGAGGAGCAGAAAAGAAGATTCTAGTACCTTCTCCTCTCTTTTCAGGGATACAGAAGGTAGGTGGTAATAGCCAGGGTAATAAAAATAGCCGCAGTTAGGAGTAACAATCACTGTTATTGCCTCAAGGTTGCAAAACAAACTCCCTTCACTTCAGTTCCATTACTTTTGAAACACAGTGTCACATATATTTACAATAAATGTATCACTTTAGTTTTTTGGGTTACATTATATTATTTGCTTGCATTATCTTTTCTTTTGTTCTGCTAATTATGTGCCAATAGAGGTCATTTTTGACTCCTAGAGACCACACAAGATTTTTCCCAGCAAGATCTAATCTTTTCTTTCAAAACGCTCAACCTTTTAGACACCAAGTGCTCAAAAACTGCCCCATCCCGCCTGCCCTGCTCCCACCCCCACTCACCTGCAGAGCCACCTACCACCTCCACGGCCCGCCACAGATCGCCCAGGCAGCCCTGCAGTGCAATGGCAGCCACACCCTTCACCCATGCCCCGCAGCATCTGCGCACGACCAGGTACAAGGGTGGAGTCTTGTCCCTGCTGCCCGGCTGCCATGTCCTTGGCTGCGCTGCTCAACGCGGGCTGCACCCGGGGGCGACTCTCCTCCTGGGGGGGCTGCTGGTGAGGAGAGGGCTGCAGGGGGAGGCGGGGCTGGGGCGACGGCGCTCTGAGTGCCGCCTCTGGCACGCGTGCCATAGGTTCGCCACCACTGGTTTAGGTCAATCATAGCTAGTTGAGGAGGCATATGTTTGGCTATATCCCCAGGATTTGGAATCTAACCATTATCAAGAATTGTGGATTTTTCATGCATGGGGAACGCTTAAAGTGTTATTTTGCATACCTCTACAATTGATTTGCAACAACTGATATTTTGTGATGCCTGTAAACATCTAAATTAATATTGCTTTTAAACAAAGGTGTAGTGAAGACTTTTCAGCAATTGGGTTTAAATTTTTTGAATATTTTGTAGCCTTTTTTCTTTCTTTTGCTGGCTAAGTGTCAATGTTGTATTATTTTTATGTATGCATATTTTTTTTAAAAAAATCAAATTAATGTGATGATAATAACTTGTTACTGGAAATTAGCAGTTTTGCTGCTGAATTTCACTATAAATTTCGTAAAGGTTTCTAGGACTGGCTGCTTTATAAAGACCACAGGCCACAAACCCTCATATATTTTAAAAAAAATTAAAAAGGAAGCAAAAATAATCTAGGGACCTTATAAGGAATAGGGTTAGATCTGGCCAGATATAAGTCTCCAATTTCTCTATCACATCCGATAGAATTTGACCTAATGGGTAGGGATATATTTCAGTGTCTCATAGATATTATATAATGAGCATAATGCTTTCACATTTTGAAAAGCAATTGCAGAAAAAGATTTGTATATTTCTAAAGCTTACAATGGAAAATATTTATTAAATGTTATGTTCTACTTAATACAGAGATATCCTTTAATAACAGGATCAGAAAATATCCCTAAAGTAAGCTTAGCAACATGAAATCGATCACATAAAATTATAAAAAATTCCTGTGTGCAAAATTGGCCCACACCTCACAAGATTTCCGGCAATTTTTTTTTATGAAGGTGAGGGGTATATACGTACTAAAAGCTTGTAATGGTTGCCAATAGGAACATGTTTACTACATCACAAAGAAATCAGTTTACAAACATATTTTAATTATCAAATAGATATGTGTTTAATAATTATACAGTTAGCATGATTTAAAAGTATTTGCTTAATTTCCAGGGATTCTATATCTTTCGGCATAAACAGGGTTCATTTTATTAACAAGTGTTTAACTTGTTACCATGCAGGTCTTTAACTGTATTTAATTACATTATCTGCTACAGTCTGAAGATTTTAGAGTCTAAGCTATTTAGAGATGTCTAGTAAAAAAATGCCTTCACAATTCCATATGCATTGGCTCAGCATTAAGTTTAAAATATGAATGTTTGGAAAAACTAAATGTTATAGCAGTAATTCAAATATATTAAGGTTGAATATGACAAATCCATGCGCAGACATAAAATCTACAAAACATGATAGAAGAATCAATAGGATAACTTTTAAATGTGTAGATATTTGAAATGAAAATGTAGATAGTGTTAGATGGAAAGTTAATCATGTTTATTAACATTAAGCATAAAAGGCATATATAGAATTTTCAGTACCTAAAATCAGATACACAAATCATGTGATATACCAAAAAAATATTTAGGCATATGAAGAGTAATAGAGTAATAAAAATAAATTCCAAAATGATATAACAACTTAATAAACTTATAATACAAATAAGAATCAATATTCTACTCCATCATAGATCCCCAAGTCTTCCCTCCACAACTCCCTTGTTTCTACTATAAGCCAAATATTTAAGAAAAAAGGCTATGTACATTTTTGTTATCTAGTAATAAAGTTACACATAAGAAATCTATCTTGTACAGATGTCTCAGAAAATCACTGCATTTTTCTTTTGGCAACCCAAAAAGAGCCAAAACCAATGAAACTAAGGGAAAAGAAAAAGAATCATATACATAACACAAATAAAACTACTGTACCAAGAAATCTCCCACAACTGGAGGTGTCTTACAATAGGGCATATACCCTCAGTCCATGAAACAGTGAATATGGTACGTGCTAAGTATACCTCTAAATGTTTATTAGTGTAGATTTCTAACGATTCCACCATTAGAAGAAATTAACAGCATAAATAGTTTTTTCCGAATATGCCATTAAACTTAAATACTTGACTTCAACATATAAAGCCATCTTGGGATTTCCTGGCTCACACCTATATTAAACACAGGATGCAGCGCATAAACAATGGGAAGTTGCCATCAATCATGGTTTCCCTTCCAAAAGGCGGAGTTTTAAATTGGATCTCAGCATCTCATCTCTCAAATCCCATTAAGTTTTCAGTCTAAGAGCGCAACTGTGCTGAGGAACGGAAAGCTTCTACCTTCAATAAAGGATTTGCCTCCGCAGCCTTGAAAGGGTCAGAATCACAGGACTATTGTTTGCTTTTCCTACTAACCCTACTCATGGGATGCAATCTCTGCCTGTTGGCCGCAAACAGAATAAGCCAATTCCGCCTCTCTGCATACTCGGCTTTACTTTGACGAAGCAGACGTCTAACTCCTAAACGCTTGTGGACATAAATACAGGGCTTCCACGGAACCAGGATCCAAGTTGTGTTATGGCTGAGCTCCAAGACTTATCTCCCAATCCCGGGACTTCTCCGTGTTAACAAGATGTTAGAATGATGCCTCATCTCCCCCCCACAGGGACAGGAGGAAGGCTTGTGCGGAAGGAATATTGCTCTTTTGGCCAATTAATTCCCCTCCCGGCCCAGAATTATTTATTCCTTTGGGTGGCAACCACCGAGCAGAATCAAGCCCGCAAAACACTCTTCTCCGTCCCCACTCGCCCTATTCAGGGACCGCCGAGCGCGCCTTTTCTCTTACCCGGATTACAGTGCAACGGCGAAGGCGGCGTGGAGACTGGCGAAGAAGGTGCCGAGGACGGCTGAAGCAGCGGTGGCGGCGGCGGCAGCGGCGGATCTTTGGGGCCGCCGCCGCCCCCGCCGCCGCCGCCGCCCGGCGAAGGGGCTGCGGGAGGTGGTAGCATGAGGTAGCGGTGAGGAGAGGGCAGGCAACGCAGACACAGCGAGTGAAGGCAAGGAAGCAGCTTAGGCCGCCGGCTCTGAATATGTTGCCCGCACACCCCACAAGTGTCCAAGAGGTTGAGCCGCGACTCTCCGTTGGCTCGGTCCGCAGGGCCTTGCCGGCTTTCAGCTTCGTTCTCCCCACCCATGGCGACCGGACCAGGCAGGCAGGGCCCAACTATCATGGGGGACTCGTCCATTGTTTGTAGGAGAAAGAAGAGCTGTCGGTGGCAACCACAACCAGGCGCTAAGCCCCCTCAGGGCAACTGCCGCCCTCCCCCGGGCGTTCGGTGGAGCCCCGCCCCCTCAACGGTCACTCCGAGTGCCCGCTGTTACCACCTCTAACCGCTCTCGAAGGAACTTCGGAAGAGAGCGCTCGCGCTCACAGCAACGCCGCCAACGGCCTCCCGGGCCCCGCCCCCTTGGCGAGCCTTTCAGTGTCAGAGGCGCAACCCGCTCCTCCAGTGCCACCCTCCCTCCCTGTTCATCATCCAAGGCAAACTCCTCCCCTTTTATCCTCCGGGTTCCAGCGCCTCTGAGAGTTTTTCGTTTTTAGGCGCGTTTTCTCGCATCTACATTCTCATTTCAGGAGAGGGAAATTCTTCCGTTTCATTCAGCTCAGCCACGCCCCCTGTCGTATTTTCTTAGTTATTTACCTGCCCTCTGAATATCTCCTCGTTTCTGTTTGGTCGGTTTGGGTACCGCCCTTTTCATTTGTCCCGCCCTCGAGTTTTTCTCTTCGCCCCATAAGCATTTTTTTTCTTTTACACTTAGTGCAAAATGTAGTGAAAATGGTGAACCAACTCTCCAATTTCCTGAAACACTACTTTGTATTAAGCTCGATTTAGTGATTTTCCATTATTGCTGAGAAAGGAGACGTTGACATTGGTATCACTGGCAATAATTTTTAAACTAAATAAAACAATTAAAATCATCTGCATTATCAGAAAAAATAACATAGATCCTTTGCCGAAACAGTATGCACAAACTAAACTAACCACATTTTAGCATAACTTTTTATGGCAATGCAGTCCATATGGTTAGTTTATGATCTAGTGTATGCCTTTTAAATCCAGAATATGCTAGGCTAGGGAATAAACCATGGAAGAAAATAGAAGAGGACGGCCAGTAGCAAAGTGAAAGGTGGCAATAAATGCACTATTGGAAGACCTGGAACACCATACTAGGAACTGATTGTCCTGGGGAAAAAATCTACCTATGTGATCTCTAAGAATAGACATGACTTAATTGCACTCAAGCAAACCATGGTTATCGTTCTGTTTTGCCCAGATTATCTGAGCTGCTACTCCAGAAGGAATTGGTCTAGAAATAGCCTGTACTTTATGTATATTTACATTTTTTGCTCTTGGGCTGCCATAACATTGGGATTTCAAGAAATTCTGCACAGAATTATATATTTTAAATTGAATTCTGCTCGAATGCTGTTCTAACTTAAGAGGAAATCCATTTAAATACAATCAAATATCACAGAATATTGTTATTATGATTGGATTCCATTTAAATTAACATGAATCATGACTAACATGACTAAATCCTTTGATTTCAAAAGAATTTTACCAACCCAGTCTGATTCTAATCCTTTAAATCATTTGCTTTTCTATCCCTTTCCCTTTTTTTAAAGTTATCACCATTATAACTTTGCAATTTGAAAAACCCAAAAAAAGAGGTAACTTAAGAGAAAAGTCATGTTGAAAGAAAAATCAGGTCCAGTTCCAAGCCAGGAGTAAAATGCTGGAAATAAAATGGAGGCTAAGATGCTGGAAATAAAATGGAGGATGCTTAAGAAAGAAGGTTCTTGTTTATTGATGAGCAGAACCAGCAACAGCATGCAGTTCTGGGACAGCTGACAAAATGGAGTTGAGAGTGGGTGGGTTTTTATACCTTCTTTGGGCTTTGTATTTGAAATGCCTGTTCCTTGTGAAATGTACTTTGACCTGTTCTTGAGTGTGCCCTTTTAGTATTCCAAAGATGCTTTTTTCATGAGGCAACTGGACTTTCTTGTTTTTTCTTTGAAGATGTTTCGCTTCTCATCCAAGAAACTTTTTCAGCTCTGACTGGATGGTGGAGAATGAAAAGATTTATACTCCTTGCAGACAACTATTCATTTGCATTCTTTTAGAGAGTCATTAATGCTACTTGGAGGATTATCTGTGTCCTCAGGGTCTCCTGAGTGGTGCAAATGTGTGTGGAGCCTTCTTGGAACTGTTGAAAGGACTGAATTGTAGATTGAAGATAGATGATTCGTATCCCTCCCCCTCTGTTGAGAGAGGGCTATTCAATTTTGACATAGATGGCCTCTTGGACCCCTCTTTCAAAGAAAAAAACAAGGAAGTCCAGTTGCTTTATGGAAAAAAAACATATTTGGGATAAATAGATGACCGAGAATCTCCATAGACCCTTTTGGTATTCTAATTATTGTTGCCTGACTCCCATTGTGGCTGGGAGACCATGTCCTGTCCTTGGAGCTGGATGGGGGATGTAGATTTTTGGAGTCTTTGTTTTTCTAATCACACCAGCTCAAGCCTTCTGTTGGGGGTTGTGGCTGAAGGCGTTTTGCTTATGAATAGCTGGCTCAGTCTTTCTGAATGGATTACCACAATCTGCTTTCCTAAAGGCCAGCCTCTTCAGGTTTCTTAGCTTGAAGCTGTTTCCCTATGGCAGGGAAACGGGGGCTGCTTTCTGCCAATTTTTTTCTCCATTTCTCCTTTAGGGGAAATATTCTATCCTGCCTTTTTTTAATATTCCCTAAAATATATCATTCTGGAGGGAGGGGGGTGCTGACTTTCTACAGTCAAAAATTATTTTAAGACTTAAGGGATAGTAATTTGTAGCCCATTTCCAGGTACATAGAAATCATAAAATCAGGCAAACTTTCAGTGTTATGGAATCAATTATCTTCCTTAGTTAATTAAGAATCATCACAAAACAAAGTCTGCAAAAAAAAGTCTAATTCGTAACCTACATATAGGACCTGCATAAATTAATGATGTTGTTTGGATTTGTGAATATACCAGTTGTTACAAGTATAATTATTAGGTTCCTGCTATAGCTTTGCTGCGGTCTCCTATTAGTATGTCATCAGCAGTGGGGAAAACATCTATTTAGCATTGGCACTGGAGCAGATCTGGGATAGATCTGACTAGATTCCACCTCTTCATTTTTAGGGCAGCTTGGAAACCTCTCCTCCTGTCTGCCACACCAAAATGTGGGCAGAGGGCTTTGAAAGCAATAAACACACAAGTGAGGTTAAAAACAAAAGTGTTTATTAAGCAAAACAGAGAAACATAATAACTTGAACTGAAAAACATCATCTAAACATACCATACATATCTGTAGCCAAGGGAATAAAATAAGAACTAATAACCTTCAATACAGGAGTGTAAATACATGACAAAAAATCTCACATCCCTTTAATATCCAGAAGGACTTCATCCTCATTGAAGTCCACAGCTACAGATGACCTCCAGATTACTTCAGTTACTATATACAGTAGCACTTTTCCTGGATAGGTCTATACTGTAGCTGGTTTCTTGGGAGGAATTTAAGCAACATAGATACGCGCATTCATTTTAACAAATCATTTCTGTTACTTTGAGGAAATATCTTCCCAGGTGCTGGTATATATGCTGCTGGCATTCCATTATATGGATATATAAAGAAAGAATGCCTGTCAGACCAATTTAAGTCCCTATACCAGGCTAACTTTGTGAAAGTTTTGAGATCATGCTATGCTGATATCAACTGATAGAACTAAAGGCCTGGGATAAGTACTTTGTGCTATCCTGATATCATGTCCTCAAAATCAGGGGCATGAATATGAGATTTACATGTATTCATCAATTATTGGTTTCCAGTTTATATGTCCTTCCTGCTCTATGGAAGCCTGAAATTTCCCTATTCTACTCATTATAATAATAAGGCTATGCAAGGTTTCAGACTGATCTGGAAAAATGGTTCAGAATAGGCAAAGAAAAGCAACACAATATCTATCTGTGTATACAGTAAAACAGCCGTCTTTTTCCAGGAGGATCCCACTGCAGCAGCATAATCCTGACAATACAAGTAACAAGCAGGAATTACATTCACTTCACTGCACTTTCCAATGCACTTCTTCTGAAATGAATCCAACTCTTTAAACAACCCTAATCTGTTATTCTAATATTAAAGATTCACTGGGTAGGTGAAGAAAAGCTAAGAATTTGTTTCTAGAATAAGAAACACAGTCTGTTCTTGGGCTCTGGCAGGGATATCAGGAGGTAAACTATGATATCATATTTTCCCACTTTAAGATGAGTATTGTGTAGTGGGCTTCAGTACGCAAGGAGCAGACCAGCATAGTTACAACGTTATTTATTGACACAAACTAGAACTGGAGAACTGCAGGCAATTGCCTATAATTTATACTCTGAGCCCACAGGGCCTTAACCAATGACAATACTTGAAAAACCTGCCCAAATATGAATGTTCAAAGTTTCCCTCCAAAACAGTTGGAGTTAACAGTCAGGGTCATCTAAAGATTAGTTTCATTTTAGCTTCACAAGCAGTTGGAGTTAAGTTAGTTTCACTTTAGCAGAGATTAACCCAACTTTATATATATTCAATACATAACACCGAGGACCCTTTATCAACATCAGTATTAAAATTCTGTTACAGGTAGTCCTTAATTTATAGCCATTTGTTTAGTGATCATTCAAAGTTACAATGGCACTGGAAAAAGTGACTTATGACTGTTTTTCACACTTACAACTGTTCCGCATCTCCATGGTCAGGTGATTAAAATTTGGACGCTTGGCAGTTGGCATGTAATTATGATGGATGCAATGTCCCAGGGTCATGTGATCACCTTTTGCAAGCAAAGTCAATGGGGAGGCCAGATTCACTTAACAACTGTGTTACTAACCTAACAACTGCAATGATTCACTTAACAACCATGACAAGAAAGGTCATGAAATGGGGCAAAACTCATTTAACAACTGTCTTACTTAGCACAGAAATTTTGGGATCAATTGTGGTCATAAGTTGTGGACTACCTGTATATATTACAGATTCTATGATGTCGTCTCTGAGCCATACGTTTTATCTATCTTAAAGATAAAGATAAAGTTTTCCCCTGTACAGTTGTTTCCGATTCTAGGGGATGGTGCTATCATGGACCAAAGACATTTCCATGGTCATGTGG